TATATATACGTAATAAATAGAAATCATTCAAATCGTTACGAATAAAAGAGAATTATTGTAATTTGAAACTCGTGAAGCGATTAAAATGTCCGATTAAAATTGTAAGTATCGAGCGCGCTTGGTCAAACTAACTTTTTAACAAATCGATCATTGGCAAACTTATCAATCGCGATTAATATGGGAGAAATTTAATCGAAACAGTTAATAATTACGAAGTTCGGATCGAAATCAAAGAAGAAAATTTTCGCACTAACCTATATATATAAAATATAAAACTGTATCGATCGAAAGCGTTTCGATATTAATGTAAAACTTGATAACTCGCGAAAGCTAAAGAATTCGAGTTTAATACAAAGTTGTGTCTTTGTGAGCGAGGATCAATAGATCTTTCAACAGCATTTCCAATTCATCTTGACAAGGAGAGGAACGATATTTCCTCGCTCTTCCGTATCGCGTAAAGGAAGCATCTTCACTCGATCGGGAAATACTAAGTAACAGTAATGCTACGAAACGTAAAGGAAGCCCTTTTGTATGCAAATACACGCGACTACAACTGGTAACAAGAGGTTGTGGGGGTGAAGGGGGATGCGTAATGCGGCCCGTTGCATTTCTCTCGTATCCTCCACCCCTTCTTGTTCACTTTCCACCACCGCCCCCTCGATCTCGTCATCCAACGATCTCGATTCAATTCGCCTCGCGATAAAATCGTTCGTTTTTCTAAAACGTCCGTTTTCGTGAGGGATCCCGGGGCTTCGTTCGTCGAGATCTCTGTAGAGAAAGGGGCTCGGCTATAAGGGACGTCAAGCACCCTTGAAAATCCTTCGAGAGGTCTATTTTGTTGAATTTAATAATCCAGTTTTCTCTCTCTCTCTCTCTTCTCTTTCTTTCTTCGAAAGAGATGGAAGAGATCGAATCGAGTCACGAAAATTACGAGGAGGAGAAAATAAGCTGTGTTATTAATACGAGATGTTAAATTGGAATTGTTATTAGAAATACGAGGGAATTCGAAGTTGTATGAATATTCGAAGATAGATAAGTTAAAAATGCGATAAAATGTAATTAAAAAATTATATTAAGGTAGGTCGTTCAGAAACTTTGAAATTGACGCTTCGATTATACTTCTTCTCCCCGAATTGAATCTCGTCGGAATTTCTCGATTTCGTTTATTCTTATACGAATGAATAATTTCGTTCAATTTGTCGAATATAATGAAAGAGAGAGAGAGAGAGAGAGTTGAATATGAAATGACGACAAATCGATTTTTGGAAGGGAAGAAAATCTCTACGGTATTTGTATTTAATTTAATCAATCTCTTTTCGATTAAAAATTATCTATTTTCTATCCAGGTGTATTCAAAAATTACATTAAGTTGTAAAATTGCTTAGAAATTAAATATCGATAAGAAAAGAGTGAAATATGGAATAAATATGGAAACAGTTCCAGAAACCGTTTAAAATCTTTCCTGGTTAAAATTACTGCATGGATAAGGAATGAATTATGAAAATGATATGGAATTAAGTGTTGTGCAATGCAAAACAGTAGACACGTGCATTGTGAAGGAAAGCAACATATCCATAGAGTCGGTAAAAACTGTGTCAGCAAACAACAAGGAGAAATTGTGTGCGGGACAAGAAGGAACAAACATTTCAACGAGTATAGCTTGAAAACCATCCCTTTTAGAAGCATCAACCCCGTTTAATCCGAATAAAAACGCCGTGTTGTTCGACCTAAAAACCAATAGCTACGCGACATAGTCGAAACATGTTAGGGAAGACCGAAATTAAACGAGTTTCGAAAAGATGCTGAAACTGTGCGAAAACGCGAGACGATGCTTAATTAAAAATGCGATATTTTAAACGAAAACTCGTTGATACAATAATTTTTGTATCGCGTGATACATGCGTAGTCATGAAAGACAATTTTTTCAAGTAAACTTGTTTGACGTGATACAGTGAATACAAAAAAGTGTTTGCACAATTCTTGTAATCGTATGAAAATAAATTTATTAAAGAAGATAAAATATTCATGAATCTAACTAATTAATGTACAAACATCGTAATAAGTGTGCAAACATTTTTTCTTGCATCGAAATGATAATATTAACACGGTATTTCGATTTATGTTACGACTCATATTAATCCAAAATGTTGAATAAATAACGAAGCTCACGACAAACTATACTTCTCTCAATGCTAGAAAAAAGAAAAAAGTTACCGGCTGAGAACGTATCAAATTTAAAAGAAAAAAAAAAAGATTAAAGATTGAAAGCCCTATTATATTTACATAAATGATCAATTCGATAAGTAAGATATATGCCTGCACATCGATCATCGATACATTGTTCCGTTCCAGTGAAGCAGAATAAGCGTTTCCAACCATGGAACGTAAACCTAATCGATACCGATAAATGCGAAATTCACCGAAAATTCAGATTTCGAAATCGTTTGGTAAAAAAAAGTTTTATCGCGCGGGTGGAGGACATGATACTTTTTTTTTTTTTTTTTTCTCCCTCCCCGAACAGGAAAAATAGTTTCCATTGGGTGGACGGGGAAGAGATTAAAACCGCAGGCTTTAATATTCATCAATTCGAAAATATAAAAATCGGTGGAAACGATGGAAGTAATATCGGGGCGTGTATAACGCGATAAACGACGCACCAACTATTCCACGGGAGCGGGAACGGAAATGAAATTTCAAGGGGGGTTGGGGTGGTGGTGAGTCGAGAAGTTAGAGACACCGGGCTGGATTTTAGCTTTTTCCAACATCCTGTCCCCGGGTTTTCGGAACAGCTGGAGAAACTTGTGTCGAAACATAAGTGTTATAAAGGTTCTAGGTATGATATACCTAGATGAATAAAAGCCGTGCATACCTTTCTTGACCAATTTCCAAATATATACGCGAATATAATGATTCGTCAAATAAATTAATCTCGAGACTGAATTAATTTCGGATTATATCTTAGTACAATATATATACTCTCATCCGAGAGATTTAACGGATATTACAAAATATCCTTTGTTTCGATTCTCCACTTTAATAGGATAAAATATAGAAATCTCTCGAAAATCGTACGTACCACGAATCTACATCCATTATACATAAGGAAATAGGTTAATTTTAATCAAAAGCGGTGAAGCAAGGAAAATTTATAGGAAACCGATAAATTCCCGATTCCAAAAAAAAAAAAGATCGATCGATTTAACAACGACACATGTCTCACTCATGTCTCGCACAAAAACGAAGAAAAAAAGAGAGAGAGAGAGAGAAGAGAGAGAGAGAGAGAGTAATG